GTGTGAGTGGGGGCATGAACTAATTGGGTCAAGTCCATGGTCGTCATGGAGGCCAAGAACTCCCGAGCCGCCGCCGACGTTTCACCCGCCGATGGCAGGTTGAGGTCCCCCATGACTATAAGTCTGGGGGTCTCAACCGCCACCCCGGCTATCACGTCAGCCAGCTCAGGCAGGGCCGTTGACACATAGCAGGGGGCCAACTATACCATTTTAAGACAAAGATCTAGAAAATAACTCAACTGAACCTACAGATGGGGAAAAATCAGAACCCATTGGATTTATCCAACCTGTTTTTTCTCCACAAAGGATGTTATTAACAGCAAACTTTCCCATTCAAGAGGCATAATACAATCAAGCAATAACGTAGCTCCATGCTGTTTTGCAGAACTCTTCAATGTCTTGGATTTGATTTCAATGCCCTTTGAAGTGTATAGGAACAGGAAGGTAATGCCTGTCTCTAATTTTTGAAAGCAGTTCCCTATTCTCCGTGCAGCTATAACATGACCTAGGAACAAATGCAGCTACCTTTAAAAACTGCAGTGTGTTATCTTTATGCCCTTAAATGCTCAGAATTATACTTTCAAATCCAACCCAAAGCATGCATAGCTCTGTACTTTTATTGTCATATTAATGCAGAGCAAATTAGATAAAAGCGTAAACACTAATTCATTAAATGTGCAACTGGCTATTTGATAAACATGATGAAACTCCTTCTTTGCACTCCTTATTGAATTAAAACTATACATGAAGCTTATATCTTCTGTCCACTTATTGTCCTAAAAATTAATTATGTGCCAGATGCAACATCTTTATTCAAGTCCCCTTGCAAGTGACAAATCTCAGAAGGCAGCTACTGGGTTTATGTAACACATCAAACCAGAAATGAAAGATTTGCATTTTAACCTTACATGCACATAAATACATACAGTTGGTCTATGATTCAGTGTGTCATCATGTGAACACAGAAAACTACAGATAAGTATGACTTTCAAACTCAGTCAATATATTTACTTTTTTTTTTCAAAAAGAAATTGTCCTTCCTAGTCTATGGAGAGAAAAGGGTACACAATACTTACTTTCTCCTAATAGAGAATGAAACAAATAAGCAAAATCTCTCCACTTCCAAAGATAAAGGCTGATTATCAAGCCAGCACAGCCCACCACCAGTTTAATGAAAACATGTCAAGGACTAAGGAAATCCTGTTTCAAGTCTACTTTCAACCTCAGGTCTTTATTATAGCAATTACAAATCAAAGTAACAGTCTCAGCCACTGGAGATTTAGGACCATCATTCTTTCAACGCAGCCTTTCTCTCCAAACTGCTATTATGGTGGGGGGGAAAATGGAGGAGGAAATGCCATGCCGTGTATGTCACCTCCTTCTCCTGGAGGAAAAACAGGATATAAATCTAACAGATACTAAAACAGACATCACCTGCAGCATCCTAACCCTGGCGAACCTGCCACTCTGGCTGCAACAAACAATGGCTCCTCCATTCTTAGTTCATAGATTCTTTAATGAGCAAGATAAAAGAAAATCAGCAAACTAGGTTTCCGTACGGATTACAAATTACCTGGACTTGCACAGATAGTAGGATAACTAAGCATATATACGTATTTACATTCTATGTCAAGCAGCTCAGCAGTGATCCTCAAACAAGACTGAAATTTAGGGCAACCCACAGCCTAAAGAAGGTTGCAAGACAGCCAATCATTATTGAGGGCTAAAGATCATAAGCAATAGACTTTCCCCCATCAACTCCAGATAAACCACTGCACAACTTATTTACCAGCCAAATCTCCCTCCTGTGACTTTCATGCACACAAACGCCTCAGATAAGGTATGGCCGCAATCCTTCCAAACTTCCAGAGCCTATAAGAGACGGGCAGCCAAACAGAGAGAGTACTGAGGACCAGAGGTTTGACTGCATCAAGCAAAACCCCGACTCCTTAAAAAAGGCTGTATGGAGATGGGGGAAGGGGATTACTTGTTTTCTCCACCCACTTTTGACAAGGCAATTCACTATTTCCTACGTCTTAGCTCCTGCTTTGTTCACACTGCTCTCAAGACGACAGCATAACCTGGTTTACATAACTGGTCCATT